GGGATGCATCAATATCTCAGCTTTCTTTGCTTCTCTGATTCATTTTCTTTCCCAGCCAAGGGACACTGAATCGTCTCCAGAATGGAAAACCTGTGCCCTTTGACTATCATATATCCTTCCAAATCCATTTTTATGTTCTGAATTCTTCCCCATATTCTCTTGAGGGATAGGCTGTTGAAATCGAAAAGCCCCCAAATTTACTTCTGCTTTCTATTGCATCATCCCTCCCCTGAGGTAATGAATTACTATGACTGAAATGGTGGCAGAGCAAAAATTATAAGAAAATGTTGAGGAGGAAACCTTAAATCATATTTCAAAATATTGTTTTACCCAATTTGTTTAGAGTTCAAAAGATAAATGTGAGTTGAAGGTAAACATTGGAAAATCATGAGCAAACTAATGATGAGTTAGAGTAAATGTTAAGAAAAGGTTTATTATAAATAACATAAGCTAAAATTAATTAAGTCATCTTATCTGAAAGTTCATTGACTATAGTTTGTTCATCCATAGCCCAGGAAACTTTTTAATCAGGCAAGTTACGATAACTATTCATGGTTGCCTTCAGTGAATCAAGTGAACTGCTTATAGTTGGTTATTACGGAACTTCCCCCAACCCTGAGCCTAAATTAGTAGAGGCTATAAGTGGTTTTTGTATGAATACTTGGTGATTTCCTATTTAGAATTCCTGTTATAGTCAGATTATCTAAGATTGAAAATATGCATTGTTTTAAAATGTGGTCTTTAAATAAATTAAAAATGAAAAAATATAAGAAAAATGTGCTTTTTAAGTATGATTGATATTCCCATTTAGGATATACATACAAACAGGTTAACAGTTTTTATAAACCACAATTATTCTTAAGTAATTACTTTTTAAATAAATTCATGAAATTAATTAATTCTTCTATGAAGGATTTTCTTGGAAACCAACAAAAGTGAAAAGCTAATTTTAAAGCCTGGGGAATTCTTATTAGTTTGCCACATTCTTCCCATTAGCAACCATTAAAAAAGCACTTGTGTTGCTTTCTAAACTATTAATCCCCATCACAGACGGAACTACATAGCACCGTGTCTATGCTGGCTACTCCACTGTCTATATTTGTGCATTCAGATTATATAGATCCAAATACTTACTGAATATCCTTGATTGGCCATCTACTCAGATGCTCAAAATCTGAATGTCATTCTTGAGTCCTGTCCTTTCCCTGACTCCTCACATCTAATAAATTATCAAAGCTTCTTAATTTATTCTCAAATGGTCTTGAATCTCTTCTTTTCTCTCCTTACCTAATGTCACCTCCCTCAGCCAGGTTATTGTCATCAAAGACCTGAAAAACTTCAAAAGATATTCTTGGCTTTCACTCTTGTCATCCTCTATTCAATGATTTACATTGTAGCCAATAAGGCCTTTCTAAATCACAAATCTGGCCACTCTTCTCCCTTGTTTAAAAAGTTTTAATTGCATCTTTTCACAACCCTTTGCCAAAACACCAGCCCTTTCTCTGGCCATCCTAAGAAGAATTATGTATTCTTTATGAATTATCCTTCTTTGAATCCATTATAATTTAATTTTCTGTCTCCCTTTCTATAAGGGAAGAAACTGTGTCTTTCTTATTTATTATTGCATCTACAACGCCGAGGGCATAAACTAAAATTTTTGTTAAGTTAATATCAGGATGAACAAATAAATTATGTTTTGCACAGCCAATGCTTGGGGAGTTAGGAGGTGAATTGGTTTCCCCTTGGTACAGTAACTATAAAGTATGTTGTCACCAGGGATAATAATCCAATGAGTGAGCATGACCTCTGATGGTTAACTAAGAAAATGAACCATGACTTAAACTCAGTGATTTGTATGTTAAAGTATAGATGACATAACTTTTGAAAAAGTAGTTGTTAAAATCATAAACCCTTCACTATTATCAATGCAATAATAGAGTGACCCTAGTCTAAAGTAAGCTAAGTGTAGGGTCTTCCTGAAGCCTGTCCACACTGTTGATTCCAGAATTCTTTATTTACTATGAGCTTTAACTCTTACCAAAAAGCCTTTGACTGGCAAAGGATTTTTCACCTTACTAACATGAATTGTCCTGTCTCTCCCTAACTTTATTGTAAAGAGAAGCTACATTTTTTACTCATGAGATCGACGAGATAATACCTATACTGTACATCCACTCACCAGCAATATGAATATTTGTAGTTGTGTGTCTTTCACCAAGAGCATAGTTTATGTCCATCTGGACTTTTCTCTGTCTTTATGTTCTAAAGAAAATTGCTTTAAGCTTTTCTTTTACCTTTAAATCACTAGCTTAGCTGAGAGACATAAAATAACTATATTGTCTGTTTTCTCAGTACCCATCATTAGTAGGGTCATGTGCCTTTATTTCTTTTGATATAAATCTTCTTTCAGGACTGGGAAATACATGTCCAGGCTACATCAGAGCATAATTTTGAGAACATATCAAAAGAACAGAATCTTTTTAAGGAACATAGATATAAGGCAATTTCTTCATAAGTAGTCATTTCAGAATCTCAGCTCTCAGCGAGATAAATTTCCACCCTCAAAAATGCAATATCAGCTCCACTTTAGATATAAATCAACTGAGCTTCAGAAAAAACACCTGAACATAAGACTTGATGATCAACTGTGACTTCTATTTCCTCGGAAATCCCACTGTGACCAGTGTGGCCACGTGGGACTTGCAGTAATAGATCCTCTCCGTAAGTGAGTCTTGACTCACTAAAATGTTATCCGTATAAATCCCATTGTCCAGAAATAAATATAGAGTTTTTTAATGAAGCCGTAATTTTTCAATCTTAGAAAGATGGACTTTATCCTTCAGGAAAAAAGAACAGGGGTGGAGGGGGAAAGCAAGCAAGCAGGAATAATGAAAGTTTAAATGAGCAAGACATGGAGATAGAGTTAAAATAAGGGAAGAACAAATGTTAAAGGAGAGAATGGCTCGGCGACCCTATCTGGAGGAGGGAAGACTGAAGAGGAGCTAGCTCAAGAGCGATTCGAAAGGAGGGGAAAAGGTGTATGATTCATGAGAGCAGGTGCCACTTGTCAGGCCCACTGCTTTTGTTCTTTCATCGTCCCTTTCCTGCTCTGCATTCTGCCCTCTGGTTTCTATTTAAGTTCAGTTGCTTCCTTTATTCACAGTTTTCATCCTGGATATAACTATTTCTCTGTTATCAGCATCTGTGTTGCTTCAGATGGTGCTTCCTTATGTCCTTGAAGCATTTCCTGAGGTATGACTCCAACTGTTTGGATTCCAGGTGTCATCCGTGCCAACCATTAATCAAACGTGTACATCCTTGTCTCCCACAGAGGACTAGGCTGTTTGTTTATGGTTCTGTCTGGAAGGATTCACCGTAATGACGAGGTAGAGCTTCAATTGCTCTCAAAATGTGTAATCATACCTTACACATGCTACAGAATAGAAAATCATTTCTAAATAAAAGAGAATCACAGATTTCTTGATCTATAAAAATAACTTGTACAAAAGCACTATAGCATTAGCAAATATTTAAAGAGATTGAATTACTTACCATAGAAATTTAGCATGTGTTCAAAGCATTTCTATTAACTTTCCATTTTCATAATTAGCTTCAGAGTTGTTGACAATCTATTTATAGTTTTCAGCTTTCTTGTTCTGTATGTATCTGTGTGCCTGCCTCTTCTTCATATATCAGCAACTAATTTTAAGAGTAAGCTTTCTTATCATCACATATGTGACAAGAAAGCTATGAAGGACACATTTAGACAAGTCATTGTACAGACCAAGATATCCGTGTGAACAATCAGGGTAAAAGCAGCTTTATTTCGTTTATGGCATTTCATATAATAGGTCTCTGTCTTTTATTTTTTAATGTTTTATTACTTTTGAGAGAGAGAGAGAGAGACAGAGGGGACAGGGGAGGGTCAGAAAGAGAGGGAGACACAGAATCTGAAGCAGGCTCCAGACTTATTTTTTAATGTTTTATTACTTTTGAGGGGGGGGGGGACAGGGGAGGGTCAGAAAGAGAGGGAGACACAGAATCTGAAGCAGGCTCCAGACTCTGAGCTGTCAGCACAGAGCCCGATGCGTGGCTCGAACCCACGAACCATGAGATCATGACCTGAGCCAAAGTTGGACACTTAATCAACTGAGCCACCCAGGCGCCGCTGTGTCTCCCTATTTTAATATTGTTTTGGATGTCTTGATTGTCATAATCACTAAAGCTAAGCACTTTCAGAACAAGGACCATCCTTGATCCATCTTGGTATCCCATAATATACCTATTATAACATAGGACTTTACATACAATTGGTGAGTAATTAAAATTTGCTGAATGGAAATACATTTTATGAAATAAAAGAAAACAAAAAATTAATGAGACTGAAACCCATTTATTTGCCTTTCCATATTAAGCACTTACTTTATTATTCGGCCCAAAGTAATTTTCACAAATAGAGCAATTCATAATTGAGAAGAAATTAATAATATTGAAAGCATTAAGTAAAATACTCCCTTAGAAGAGAGAATATGCAATTGACTTTTTTCCACTTGCTTAAACCACAAGTTCTCTCCAAAAGATTTTTGAGATATGAGGACATTGGGTTTCCTTTGGAGCACAAAAATGTAATAGAAACTTTCTGTTCAGAAGCTTTTAAATGATATTGTGCAGTTCCTGTTACGGAATGTGTATTTGTGACTCATGTTGAATCTTCACTCAGGTTACTTATAGGTTGTTTATATATATATATATATATATATATATATATATATATATGGAGAAAAGAAGTAAAACAAAAATAATGCCATATACTCAAATGATTGATAAGGCTTTCCAGCACAAAATGGTTTGAGAAATTCAGTGATAAATGTTTCTTAGCCTTACTTATGCTACACAGAAAAATTATAGTTGTCCTCTACGAACATTCTGCTAATCTAAAAAAGACCTTCTTTCTTAGAATTGAGAAGGCTTAACCCAATAATTTTTTTTGTTTGTTTCAGAATCACTGAATTATTTACCAGTATATCAGCACCATATATGAGGAAGCAGAATTTCAGAAAAGACAAAAAGTGAGTTATTTTCCAATTGGTCACCTGTATTTAGTTAATGTATGATTTACAGTAGTGCATCCTCTTTATTCACAATTATGAATGATTGGACATCATGACAAAATCAGCTACAAGTCAAGCTATTTCTATTTGGTTAGGTCACATGTGATGAATACTCAGGCTCTACCAACTAATCATAGTGCTTCTGAAAGCATCTGTTGTTTTCCCTTCCCTAGATAAAAAGACTCTCTTTGATGTCTACAAAGGGAATACTTCTATATGGTGTCTGATTCTCATCACTAACCATCAGCATTTTGAATGTTGATCTGATATGTGCTAGATGTTTTTTATGCTCAGAATGGAATTTTTAATAAATTTCTTTCGGGTGCAAATGGACGTGTATAGTGAGATGGCATAGGCATGAAGACAACGATGAGTTTCAAGTAAAGAGTAAGTTGGGTTAGACTGAAGATGATCATTTTTACTTCGTGATTTAAAACTCCTAGCCTTCTGGAACTTGTCCAGATAGGAATATTTTTAAGTAGTTTTTTTTTTTCATTTTTTATTGTTATATATTCTCCTTATATTATGTAGGGGACAAAAATCAAAACTTTGTTAACCATAAGATATGTGATGATGGAAAATACATCACATTGTCTTAGGATTGCATTTTAATTTTGTAATTGTTATATTGAAGTTTAGTCCATTTTACCGAGAATATTGTTGTCTAAGGGAGCAAGCTCATAAAGTTCTATGTACGTACGGCAGTTCTCTGATGTTTGCAATCTAAACAAAAAGTTGGTAAACTTTGTAAGAACCGTGTGCTAGCACTTTTTCCATTTTTAAAGGATTTTTAAAAAAAGAATAATGTGCAACCAAGATCTCTTAAATGGCCCACAAAGCTGAAAATACTTATTATCAGCCCCTGCACAAAAGAATGTTTGCAGACCCTTGTTCTGCAAGTAGCATTGCGTTTAGATAATGGTTGAAATATATCTCCAAATTTGTCCTAGAGTCACAGCATCTCAACGTGAGGAAATATCTTCAGAGTAGTTGACTCATTCATTAGTCAGATGCATCCTCCTCACAAATGGACAGATGCTGTTCAAGTTACTCGTTGTGTTTCTTACACAACTGAAAACAAGATGAAAGGTACAATACCTATACTGTGAAGTGTCGTCAGTAAAATCTTTCAGTTCACCTATAAATAGACCTTGCATATAAAAGAGGAAGGATAATGAAAATAATATATTACATCACGTAATACTTCATTCCTTCTAAGGCGCTCAGACTGGACTTTCCACAGTGAGTGGTCCTTAAACAGAATAAGGAGACTCTGAATACACATCTCTTTCCCTTCAGTTATTCATCCCATGCCCGCAGCAAACTTCAACTACTGACCTTAGAACACCTTTCCAAGGAGACTGGATGCAAACTTTTCATCCCTTACCACATATGTCTGATGGTTGGTCACTATGAATTCATCACAGTTGTCAGTTAACACACGGGAGCTCTTTGTCGCATTGGTACCTGAAAGATTATGTGTGGCAGAGGGGGAGGGGAAGTTGAAGGGGGGTCGCTCAGGTGGTTGGGATGAGGAAGAAGTCAGAGGAGAAAGATATCTCTGTAAGGTAAGAAGGGAAGGGAGAAAAGGATATGGCAACTTTTCAGGGAAATGAATTAAAGTCTCCTTGTTTGGTATGAACCAGCAATTTCACCAGCAATTTCAGAGTTATGTTTTAAGAATAGGATAGGCACCTACAAATGACTGCATGACTTTAAGTTTCTCAAAGGCAGGAAATGGATCAGAAAAGGTTTCAAGACTTAAGGATGAGGTCAGCAATGAGAGAAAGGAGGAATGGAAATTATAGAAACATCTGAAGGGATGTGTGCTTGTATATTATTTATACCCCAATGATTAGCTTTAATATAAGAATAAGCTACAAGTCTCAAGAAAAATGCAACTAATATCCAGTGTAGCTCTTTAAGGAGATAGAAATCCAAGATGTTCATCAGTATCACAGAAACGTTAGTAAAGTCAGAATAGAAAATCAAAAGTACCCAATGGTGTCAACTGCCTGTATAAGGGAAAGATTATCAGCCTTTGTGAGTGAGGCAGTTTAGAAAGAATGACTCTTCACCAGAGGATACTCAGTGATTATGAGTAGATCAGATATTTAATAACGAATGCATGCAACACCTAGTGATTTGGTTAATTAAATGTTTTAATTTAGAGCATTTGGCATAATTTAGAACTGGACTGAGTTATATCTAGCTTTAGAAATGACACATTTCAGGGGCCTGTCATAAATTGAATGATTGTAGAGATAGAAAGTACTCTCAGTGACAACCTAGTCCTGCCTCCCCAGGTCAGAGTTGAACTCAAGGGGCTGAGACAGAATCCTCGCATTGCCACCCAGTCCTGCTGACTCAACATTGTTTCTATTATACCCTGTGGCCATATGTCACTGAGCTGTACAGAGCCTCCCTATACACACACATACCCCAGTGCCCTTGAGGCTATCTCCTAGCATTCCTGAGCATTCTTTATGCGGTATGGAAATTCTGTCGTCACTTCTGAATGAAGGCATCAGAACTTACTGACTGCTGTCTAAAATAAGACTATCCTTTGCCCACAAGTGAGGTTAGAAATATATTTAATTTTATATCTACTACATAACAAATGGTATGCTAGCTGCTATACAATGCTCTACATAGAGAAAATAAGCTCTCTTAAAATCAAACTAGGTCTTGCTATAGTATAAATGAAACCAATTAGAAATGACAATGACAAATATTACAGTGCTCCATTGTTTTTTAGTATCAAAGTTGTCTTGCAGAGTTTTCTCAGCCCCTTTCAAACATAGATTATGAAAATCTAAAGAGAAAGCCAACAAAAGAATAAAACATTTGTCCATGTACTAATACCAAATATAAACAAAAATATGAAAATATTTCTGAGATTAAATGTGCTAGGTACCAATGTATTGTCATCACAGTCTGTACCATGGTAGCACAGGACTAAGTTCCGTTCATCCCTTAGTGATCCAGAAATTTGACCAACTATACAGAATTGCCTTCCAATCAAGTTTCTGAGGTGAGCATGAAAAGGCATGGCTACCAAAGATTGGTATTTATGGGAAAGAAGGTGTTGCTTTTTCAAGAAGAGTGCCCGGGTGGCTCAGTTGGTTAAGCTTCTGACTTTGGCTCAGGTCACAATCTCACAGATCATGGGTTCAAGCCCTGTGTCGGGGTCTGTGCTGGCAGCTCAGAGCCTGGAGCCTGCTTTAGATTCTGTGTCTCCCTCTCTCTCTGCCCCTCCCCTGCTCATGCTCTGTCTCTCTGTCTGTCTGTCTCGCAATAGTAAGTAAACATTAATTTTTTTTAATAAAGAAGAGGGCTAAAAAGTTGGAAAATTCTTGCTGAACAAAATGAACTCAAGTTCATGACACTAAGTAATCCATCATCGCTACGTTTTAAAAGTGATATGGACAATAAAATGAATACAAGTTCGTAAAACATACATTGATCATAAGAGAGACACAGTGCTAATCCAGTGAAAAATGAGTTCTTATAATAACTCTGAAATAGTCCCAAGTACTGCAAAAAAAGAAAAAACACATACTCTTGGATAGGACGAATCTGACATTTAAAAACATGATGTTAAGATTACTAAGTAATGACAGCAAAGGACCAATGATTGATACCCAAATACAGATATCCTAGTCAAGTTTTACAGAAAAAAATAATAGAAATGATCCACACTTTTTAAAATGTGCAATATATAGCACTCAAGTTTCAGCCTTTCAGATGCCATAGAGTAATTACTTTGTCTTTTTTATAGCTTTCCAAATAGGTAAGTATATGAACTTCACCCCACCTTCTATAGAAGCCAGGTCTGGGTTTTGCTGTTACCACACACATTCTGCCACAAATCAGAAATTTGCATTATTGACAAAGCTGCTCAAACAAAGCATACCAAGTTAAAACACACTACATTGCAGCAAAGCAAGTTGGACAAATTATTACAATTATTTTTCAAAATAGGCTACCAAGCATAAAGTAAACATACAATTGCTTGAACTGAACTGAGAGATAAATTAGTCACTCTTGCAAGTCTGATTGTAATAAACTTACTTCCTCAGATCTTTATGGCCCATTAGTTTTTACATTTATAATTCCTGGGTTTAAGCTGAGTTATCACAGAGATTCCAGAAATCTCTGGTTTGTCTTTGTCCTTTAAGATTTGGGGTGGTTTTTCAAGAATCATGAGTTTTAAGGGGCGCCTGGGTGGCGCAGTCGGTTAAGCGTCCGGCTTCAGCCAGATCACGATCTCGCGGTCCGTGAGTTCGAGCCCCACGTCAGGCTCTGGGCTGATGGCTCGGAGCCTGGAGCCTGTTTCCGATTCTGTGTCTCCCTCTCTCTGCCCCTCCCCCGTTCATGCTCTGTCTCTCTCTGTCCCAAAAATAAATAAAACACGTTGAAAAAAAAAAAAAAAGAATCATGAGTTTTAAAATACATTCTTCAAGTTGCTGTGGAAGATCCATATTGGGTCATTAAAAGGGAAAGAAATTAAACCATTTGTCTGAAAGAGTGAACAAAATTTTCTCTTTCAGAAAAGTTAGCCCTATAATAAAAAAATCAAGAAATCTTTTATAACCCCCAAGTTCTGAATATGTAGAGAAGACTACACAATTTTGTGTAAAGTGGGACTAACAATACAAGTCATGGTGAGATTAGAGTTTAAAAATTTTATTTGTGCCATTCAGAAGCCTCTGACAAGTTGAAGAGTTTAGAAAATAATACTGGCCAAGTATCTGATTCATGTATGTTTCTAAAACGTACCAACAGCAATAGTGTGACATGTGATCAGAACTGGAAAAAGTCTTCAAGGCAGGATGGACACAGCTAGTTCTGTTATTTACTGTTGGCAGAGAACCAACCTAATGATGTCTGTTAAAAAGTATGTATAAACTGAGGGAAAAAGCTTATTTATAGGTCAGATGAAGAAAATAGAAAAA